AGGCACACCTCAGGTAGTTTCAACATACTATTAATTTAATACAATAACTTTAGAAGAAACTATTTTCTCAGATTGATGGGTGAAAGTCCCGAGGCTCAGAGTAGTTACTTGCCTAGGTAAATTGGCAGTTAGGATTTCCAAGCCAGGATCATCCATTTCCAAAACCTATCCTACCTCTCAGTAATGACATTTAGAGTGTTTTTCTTTAATTTAGCAAAGCTGTGAGACAGCCTAGAAGATGAGATCACTGTGCTTCTTCACGTCCCAGGTGTTTAAGCAGCCTTGGCCTGGGATCATGCGTACAGTTTATGGGAACCACACACGCTTTGAAACCACATACTTTAAGAAGTTCCCTGGGTACTACGTGACAGGAGATGGTAAGATTTGGATATCCTGTCCCCATACTTTTTTTTTTTTGGGGGGGGGGGGTCCGGGTGTGGGGCCTGAACTCTGGGCCTGGGCGCTGTCCCTCAGCTCTTCAGCTCAAGGCTAGCGCTCTACCACTTGAGCCACAGCACCACTTCTGGCTTTTTTCTTTTTGCTTATGTGATGCTGAGGAATCGAACCCAGGGCCTCATGCATGCAAGGCAAGCACTCTACCACTGAGCCACCTTCCCAGCCCCCCACTCATACTTCTTATTAAGACATGCACCTTCACTTTCCATTAAAAAGTCTCTGTAGTAATAACCACTGTACAAAAGATAATCAGAGCCGAGTGCCAGTGGCTAACACCTGTAATCCTAGCTACTCAGGAGGCTGAGATCTGAGCATCATGGTTCAAAGCCAGCCCAGACAGGAAAGCTGTGAGACTCTTATCTCCAATTAACCACCAGAAAACTGAAGTGGCACTGTGGCTCAAGAGGTAGAGCACTTGCCTTGAGCTGAAGAGGTCAGGGACAGCAACCCAGGCCCAGAGTTCAAGCCCCACCACTGACAAAAAAAAAAAGATAATCAGAGGGGCCAGGCACCAGTGGCGCAGCCTGTAATCCTAGCTACTCAAGAGACTGAGATCTGAGGATCAAGGTTCAAAGCCAGCCTAGGCAGGAAAGTCTGTGAGACTCTTATATTTAATTAACCACCTGAAAACCTAAAGTGGAGCTGTAGCTCAAATGGTAGAGAGTCACCTTGAGCTGAAGAGCTCAGGGACAGTGCCCAGGCCCAAAGTTCAAGTCCCATGACTGACCAAAAAAAAACAAAAACAAAATCATCCGAGAAGGCTTCCAAGACTTCCTGGATTTAAGTAGAGATGCAAACAGGGACTGGTTAAAGCAAGAGTATTGCATGGAGTGGAAAACAAACTTGAAATACATGAGGCTTAGACTGAAGCTAGTTGGCAGAATTGTGCTGAGCACCTGGAGACACAGTACTTGAAGCTGGAGAGGTAGAGAAAATACAGTGTTGTGGCCACAGTGAGCAGTCTGGATTTCATTCAAAGTATAGTAGCAGACTTTTATAGATTTTAAGCAGAGTTGTGATAAGAGCTAATTTCCTGTTTAGAAAATATCTTTCCTTGAGTTACAGAAAATAGATGTGTTTACCACATCCTCAGTTTCTGAGGATTAGATTCTGAGAGCACCTTAGTGTTTCTCAGTCACGGTCCCTTGTGAGTTACAGTCAGGCTGTTGGTAGGGGTTGTAATCATCTAAACATTTGACTGAGTCTAGAAGATCTACTTAACTGCTTATTCCTATGGCTTTTGGCAAGAATCTTCAGTTCCTTCACTACTTGGGCCTCTCTAAAGGGCTACTCTCAACTAGCTAGATTTCCTCAGAACAAATGATACGAGAGAATACAAGCAAGATGGAAGCCAAAGTGTCTTCTGTAACCTGATCTTAGAAGTCACAGTCCAGCATTTCTGCCAAATTCTGTTGATCATATAGACTATCCTATATAATGACAAAGAGAACTATGCAGTGCTATAAATGCCAGGGTAAAGATCACTGTGGCCATCTTGGAGACTGACTGACACAGTGAGCAGTAGACTTGTTAGAAGGCCCTGCACTGGCTATGACACTTTGGTTATGGAGATCCTGCAACCTGCCGTGGGTATTATCTGTTTTTCCCCTCAGGTTGTCGGCGGGACCAGGATGGTTATTACTGGATCACTGGCAGGATTGATGACATGCTCAATGTATCTGGTGAGGGTCCTGGATCCACTTCTCCTATCTCATTAGCTCTGTTTCCCTCTTAGAAAGCCTTCTGAGAGTGCTAGGGCTGTCCTTTGGCTTGACCATGTGTGGCATTCAATTTTGGGCCCAGAATTAGAGGAAGAGTGTTGGATGCTGGAATGTGCCTAGAAGAAGAGATTGAGGATGGTGAAGTAATGGAAAGAATGCCATCAGAGAAAAGAATGACCTCTTTCTTATAATCAGACTCGGTCTTCTCTCTGGGTGCAGATGGAACAGGGGCTGGGACAGACAGAGGCTGGGATCTCTCTTATGGCATTTTCGTTCTCTCCACCAGGACATCTGCTGAGTACAGCAGAGATAGAATCAGCTCTTGTTGAACATGAGGCTGTGGCAGAAGCAGCTGTGGTGGGCCACCCTCATCCTGTGAAGGGCGAATGTCTCTACTGCTTTGTCACCCTATGTGATGGTCACACTTTCAGCCCCACCCTCACTGAGGAGCTCAAGAAGCAGAGTAAGGAACCCACCCTGGGCAAGGACTACAGGGTCTATGAGTTATTATGGAGGGGCTGCATCAAGCTGATCACCAAACTAGGAACAGAACTCAGGGATCCCTTGGGCTGGCTCATTTCCTCCCACTTAATCTCCACTAAGATAATGACAATAGCAGATAAGTACAGAATACTTTTTCTCTTCTGTCACTGGGTTCAGTGCTTTGAATGCATTATCCTATTTAATTCTTATAATCACCTCAGTGAAACAGACCCTATTGTTATTCTAGTTATAAAAAAAACTTCAGACGTAGAGAATTAACTCTCTTGCCCAAGGCTACACTGCTAGAAAGTATTGGGATTTAAATCCTAGCAGGTTTATTCTAGAGCCAAAGTGGATTAAAATACAACAAAGAAGGTAAAGAGAAATGGTTAAGGGGGTGGGGGGAGGGAGGGGCAGTGAGCATGAGAATGCTTATGTAGGCTTTTGGGAATCTAGCTAACAATACTAAAGAAATGCTTGAATTGTTGATTATAGTTAGAGAAAAGATCGGCCCCATTGCCACACCAGACTACATCCAGAATGCACCTGGCTTGCCTAAAACCCGCTCAGGTATGTTCAGAGATCTCCAGGATTGTGATGGGTTAAGGGCCCAGTGGTTGGTGGAGTTTGTGGATTAAAATCCTTGCAGGGGGCTGAGAATGTGGCTTAGTGGTAGAGTGTTTGCCTAGCATTCATGAGGCCCGGGTCTGATTCATCAGGACCACATAAACTGAAAAAGCTGGAAGTGGCGCTGTGGTCAAGTGGTAGAGTGCTAGCCTTGAGGAAAAGAAGCTCAGGGACAGTGTCCAGGCCCTGAGTTTAAGCCCCAGGTCTGGCAAAAAAAAAAAAAAAAAAAAATCTTGCAGGACTAAGAAGGCTCAATGTTATCATGAAGTAACCAGAGGCCTATATTCCCCTAGGGAAAATCATGAGACGAGTGCTCCGGAAAATTGCTCAGAATGACCATGACCTGGGGGACATATCTACAGTGGCTGATCCATCTGTCATCAGTCACCTCTTCAGCCATCGCTGCCTGACCAGCCAGTGAACGAAGACTGGCCTTTGCCTAGTATTCCCCTTGCTTGGCTCTCCAGAGATCTGCCAATCTTTCCAACCCCCTCCCCCCCCAAATCCAGGCGTAATGAGAGCCACACTTGGTCCTCAAGTAAAGGCAGTTTTTTGTGACTACCAGGCAGAAGGGGAAGGACCCAGGCCAGTCTCAGATTGATGTACCCCTCAACTTCCAAGAGCTCTGTAAGCCCAGGATAGGAATCTCAAGGCCATGTCCCCACTTGAGTTCAGTGTTCAAAGGGCAAGGGAAGGTCTTGAAGCAAGGCAGCAACTCCAATCCTATATTAACTCTCAGGAAGCACCACTTCTGACCTTGTGCAGGCAATTACCTTAAAAACTGACAATGTGTGAGTCTAGGAATAATTATTATTTTTTAAATACTCTGCTGCTTTTGTTCTGAGTCTGAATTCCTAAATGGCAGTACTATCTGCCCACTTGCTCCAGGGGTAATGTATGTGAGTTCAGTCTCTAGAGGACTTTCATATTATCTGATTTGAAGGAGTGGATGTGTTTTGTTCCCAGGACCAAAGGAGTTTGTCTTCCTTGTCCTGTCCCATGAGACACACTCTCAGATTAAATTCTCTTTTCTTGCCCTAGTCATGCTCAAGCCCCATGGTTGTAAGAATAAAGTCTGTGACCTTAAAAAGGTGGTGAGTGGCTCTGATTTATGTGTCAGATGAAAGGGGAAGGATATTTCCCAGGACTATCCTAGTACTCTTCCTTGTAGAACTTTTGGTTCTAGTCAAGGCTTCGCTCACAGGACTTCTGACTGCCCGAGCTAAGCAGGAGTGACTGGACCCTGGTTTTTGTTTTTTGGGTTTTTGTCATGGGGCTTAAAACTCTGGGCCTGAACACTGTCCCTTAGCTCTTCAGCACAAGGCTAGTAGCGGTCTACCATTTGAGCCACTGTGATACTTCTGGCTTTCTGATAGTTAATTGACGAGTCTCATGGACTTTCCTGCCTGGGCTGGCTTTGAACCTTGATCTTTATATCTCAGCCTCCTGAGTAGCTAGGCATGTGCCACTGGTGTCTAGCAGGATGCTGTTCTTAACTGTGATGTCCCTCCATACTTGTTTTCCCCAATGGGCTCCTGCTAGGGATCCTTTCTCCTCCCTAGGGCCCTGTGGTAACTAAGGATCAGAACTTCAGGATTCTATCCTTTGGGGCTAGGTCTACAGATACCCTATAGCCTAGTCACCAATCAACCTTAAATGGGAAGATCTAGATTATGGCTCTCTGCTTCCTGATGGGTGTATAGCAATGAATCATTGAATCAGCAAGGTGATTTTATTTAAGGCAGAGCTAGGGAAAGTCTATACCCTTCCATCTGCCTCTTCCTACCATTTAGTCCTTTCCCAAGTCAGGCAGGAAACCTACTGGAAAGGCTGAAGAGGGGCCCACAGGAAGATGGCAGGGTTTATAGCCCTTTACCTCAGAGCAGCTTCCCTTTTCATACTTCAGGGGTTTGATGGCCTTCAGAGCTCATCTAAAGGGAAATGTAGCTTCTCTGGTCCTCAGATGGAGGGCGGAAAGAAGGCAACTGCCATTTACCCTTCCCTGAAGACTCAGAAGGGCTAGGAGAGGAATGACAAGTACAGGGGCTTAGAAGACGTCTTGAGTGAAGTCCAGGCTATGCCCTCAAACAGGGTATGGGTTGTCCAGGACTGCTACTCCTGCTGCCACACCACCGTCTGCATGTTCAATGGCTTTGGTTCGAAGCAGATGGCCCGCATGTGTGTTCATCACAAGTGTTTTCCCCTGCCTGTAGAAATAGGGTCAGGAGACACACAATGTCACCAAACCTAGGACCTTTCCTGGTCCCTGATGAGCAGTACATGAGAGTGACTACTCTGAAGAAACGCCAAGACATTAGAGTCAGATTTAGATTGTAGCCTGTCTTGGAACTACTAGTTCTATGACTGAGGAAGTTCCTAGTCTTTCTAAACATCACTTTCTAAATGTCACTTTCCTTCATTTAAAATTGGGATTATCACTTTCTTGTTTTGTTGTTGTTATGTTGTTTTGTTTTGTTTTTTGGTGCCAGTCAGGGGCTTGAACTCAGGACTTGGATGCCGTCCCTGCACTTCTTTTGTTCCAGCACCCTACCACTTGAACCACAGCTCCACTTCCAGCTTTTTTTGGTAGTTTTAGTGGAGATAAGAATCTCAGAGACTTTCTGCCTGGGCTGGCTTCAACTGCAATCCTCAGCTCTCAGCCTCCTGAGTAGCTAGGATTACAGGCATCAGCCATGGGTGTCCTCTTACTGATTTTTAGTGCTTAAATCTTCAAGGAGTTACTAAGTTCTTCAAAGCCACTCAATATCCTTTAGCTGACAAATCTCTCCTTTCCCTAGAATTCTCAGTGGCCTTGGAGCTGGACCTAAATAAACTCTCTTTAAGAGTCTCCTAGTGCTGCTTGTCATACCATCTTTTCTCAATCCTTTTGCTCCTATGTAGAATTTCCTTTAAATTTACAAAGCAGCTCTCCTCTGAGTGTCACTAGTTATCCCTATGAGTTGGGCAGGTCTTAGTTCCTAGCCTTATTTACTAGACCAGAAAACGGTAACAAAGCTAGGGACTAGCAAGGCTAGGAATGAAGCCCAGGATTCTTGACTCTGTTCAAGTTCCTTCTTGGCTTGCCTGGCTGGCACTCAAGAAGGGAGGTAGGGGAAAGAGTTCCTCCTCACCGACTCACCTGACATAGACTCCAAAGATGCCTAGCTCTGAGATACACTGAACTACTCGGGCAGAGCTGCCAGGCCGTAGCAGGCAATTCCTAAATGGTTCGGGTTCAATCTTCTCCATAAGGATGTAGGAAGCCCTCTCATCACTGTCCTTCAGCCGCTCTAGGGCTTGCACCATTTCTTCCCCGTACAAGTTATTTCCTGCAATGAAACGGCCAGTCAGTCAGTCTGCCCACTGTGTACCTTCTGCACCCTGTGCCCTCATTTCAAGAGCCATGTGGACAAGCCACCAGCCTCATTTCCTGCCACTAGCCCAGTGAGTCCAGCGCACGTATGGCTTGTGAGAAGGTCACTTCACAGGATAGCCCTTACCAACCAAACATGCCTGCCATCACACTGCCCTGCCTGGCTGTCTCCCGTCTATGGATGTTTCTTCCCAGTCTCCATTACTGCACCTCCTCTTTCTTCTTAAATGATAAGTTAAATGTTGAGGTTCTCCAGGAGTTGGTTTTTTATTTTTTTTTTTGGGTCCGGTCGTGGGGCCTGAACTCTGGGCCTGAGCTCTGTCCCTCAGCTCTTCAGCTCAAGGCTAGCGCTCTACCACTTGAGCCACAGCCCCACTTCCGGCTTTTCTTTTCTGCTTATGTGGTGCTGAGGAATCGAACCCAGGGCCTCATGCATGCAAGGCAAGCGCTCTACCACTGAGCCACCTTCCCAGCCCCGAGTTGGTTTTTTACTCTTGTTCTCCATGTACCATTTTCCCTCCCCAGGAAGACTTGGTCCATTCCCAAGGCTCCACCTGTACCTATAATTAGATTCCCCTGTGTTCTACAGCACCTATCTACAAGGTCAAGGTCTTAGTGGACATTATCCGGGATGGATCACTTTCTCTTGTATCCACCAAGTCTGGCACTGTAAGTCCATAGTAAGTGCCAGTGAACACTGCCAACAACTTGCCATCCCTTCCCTTAGCAGCCATCAGACTGGGGGCTCCACCTACCTCCACCTTCTCTCTGGGGTTTCAGCACAAATCGGCTAGGGGCAGTGAGAGCCTCAGCAATGGCCTGGTCCCCTTCTTCACCCTGGCAGGAGGCAGAAAGTCATCACCAGCAGTCTTAAGGCAAAAGAGGCACTGAGATCCTACTGGTCATTCTGAGCCACATCAGGGGAAGAACAGGAGGGACTCCTCCCCACCCCCTATAGTAAGACCAAGAACAGGCTTTTCTCTAGTAACACAAGACTCTGTAGCAGGTGACCTAGAAAGTGGGTTCAGATATTCCCCAGTCATTGCTACCTGCTTTACAGTCCCTTCCCTGCTTGCAATTCCCATCTTTACCTTTGTTGAGGGAGCTTACAATGAATCTAGCACCTGAGATGGCCTGTTACCAATGTTCTAGGGCCTAAATTATAATGCCAGCTCCACCCCTCGCCCCCCAACACAATGGATTTCAGGTATCTGGCACCTAGGAGAGCTGTGAAGAGAAAGCAGGCTGCTTATGTACCATGTCCAGTGAATAGAGGCCAGCAAAGGTGGCACGAAGGCGGGCTATGGCCTCTGACTGGCCAGGGAGCAGCATTTCCAACATGCCCACCCTACTCAGTTCCTGCTGCACCTTCTTAGTCCCAGCCAGCTGAGTAGCAATGTCTGGGCACTTGACAGCACAGGACCTTTCCAGCAGTAGGCGTGCTTCCCAGTTCTGTAGAGGGAAGAAGACAAAAAGAATTCTACGTCATTTCACTTCAGCTAACTTTTACTGAGTATCCCTCAAGTGCCAGGTATTGTGCTTTTTATCTTCAAGTTGATAGTCTCCTTCACCAACCCCACTCCCTATGATTGCAACTTCCTTACCTGGCAGGTGTGAGCTCTCCTATTCTGCAGGATTCTTGGCTTTAGTCTAGCACACTGACACATGACCATAATTAAAGGGAAAAGGAGAAAAGGGGAAGCAGCCTTTTATAAAGGTATAGGAAAACTGATCAATTTTGTTTTTGTGTGTTTGTTAGTTTCTGAAGACAGGGTCTTGAATTTGAAACCTGACCCTGCAATCCTCCTGCATTAGCCTCCTGAGTGCTAGAATTGCAGGTATATGCCACCACACCTGGCTTGAGATGGAGTTTTAAAGAGCAGGGTACACTTGTTTATGAGCTATACTTCCCACTGTATTCCAAATAAATTCCAATACTCAGATTATATAACCTTTGCCTTTTCTTTTTGGGTCCGGTCGTGGGGCCTGAACTCTGAGCATGGGCGCTGTCCCTCAGCTCTTCAGCTCAAGGCTAGCACGCTACCACTTGAGCCATAGCACCACTTCTGGCTTTTTTTTTTCTGCTTATGTGGTGCTGAGGAATCGAACCCAGGGCCTCATGCATGCAAGGCAAGCGCTCTACCACTGAGCCACCTTCTCAGCCCCTAACCTTTGCCTTTTATCAAATAAAATCTAAACATCTTGCAATAGCCTAAAAGACCCTGAAAGATCTAGCTCCTATTCTTTTTTTTAACTGTTTTCCCTTTGCCATTCTTTTTAATTGAGACATCTTGCTAATACAGCTCAGACTAGCCTTAAATTTTTAATACTCCTGTCTCAGTCTTCCGATTGCAGGCATGTGCCACCATGCCCAGCTTGTTCTCATCTTAAATATTAATTCAGTCACCTTTTCAGAGAAGCCTTCTGTGACCACCCTGTTTAATGTGGATTTCTCCATAATTCTCTATCTTTTCATACTGTTGTTCATTCAACTGAGAGAAAACATTTTTTGGCTGGGTATGGTGGTACATGCCTGTAATCCTAGCACTTGGTAGGTTGAAGTAGGAGGATCATAACTTTAAGGCCAGAGTGACCTTGTCTCAAAACCCAAAACCCTAAAAATTCTTTCTTATTTCTGTTTATTTTCTGATGCTCATCTCCCTGACCAGGATCAATCAAGACGCTATTTTCCTTTCATATGAGAGCTGACTATAATTTCAGTTAATTTATAAATAACTTTAAAACGTTATAAATGAAATGGACCAAACTATACCTGTATAAAATTGATCATGTTTTAATTATGGGCTAAAAATGTATAAGACAGTAAGCCTGAATTAGAAAAATTAAGATTCCAAATACATTGCTAGAGAATTGCACAATGGAGGGATGAGGGAATTAATGAAAATTTTTCTCTACATACAACATGATCATTAGCAAACTAGTAAATCTTAATTGGAATGATAAGGCAAAGCTGCTTTATTTTCTGCTATGTACCTCCAAAAAATGCAGGTTCTGGTACTTAAAGGATACTCAAGAAGTTCTTTAATTGTTGCTTAGTGAAGTGAAATTTGAGTAGTATCCTGATAACTGTCAGAATGACAGGTAAGAATCAGTAGAGAATAATATTCAGGCTCACAAAATAATACAAACACAAGTCTAACAGTATGAAGGGTCTGATGTCCCAGGAGCTTAAAATTTAAGAAACAGGAAAATGGCAGAGGACTACAGCTCCCAGCTCTGGTCCTGTTCTCAGGCACTGAGCAGACAGTCTTCTCTTTGGTTCCAGACCACAGTACACTTCCCATTTCAGGATCAAGGTGGAGGCCGGAGGAGTACCTACCAAATCGCTAAGTTTTGGAGATCTACCTCCATGTTCTACCCCTACTTTCCATCCTTGTTAGCTCATCTCTTTTCTAAGATTTTTCAGTCCCTTTCCCTTCTCCCATCCTGAAACTTGGATCCATATTCCCAACAGACAATTTCTCTCTTCTCTAGTCAGCAAGTTTCCAGTACTGCTATACACCTCTTTAGAGGAAAGGCCTTCCTCAAAGATGCCCTCTCCATACAGATGCCCCCTTAGGGAGCTCAATCCTGGCAGAAAAGCCCAGATAAACTGTAGTTCTGCAAGGAGCTCCTTTAATTTTCCAGTGTACATCCCACTCTGAGAAATAGACCAAGAAAGCACAAGAAACTTGCCTATGTATGGCCAATCAAAACTTTGCTTATAACTCTCAGCCCTACTCATTGTATTTCTTGACTTATTCCTTCCTTTATCTTTTCCCAGTTCAATGCAGGGCTTCTTAGCCGGATGCTGTAATTCTAGCTACTCAGGAGGCTGAGATCTGAGGATCACAGTTTGAAGCCAGACTAGGTAGAAAAGTCCAATTAAAAATAAAAAAGTGAACGAAGCTGTGGTTGAGTGCTAGCTTTGAGTGAAAAAGCTCAGGGACAATGTTCAGGTCCTGAGTTCAAGCCCGAGGGCGCACGCGACACACACACACACACACACACACACACACACACACACACACACACACACACATACACACACACACACACACACACACACACACACACTGTTTTATCTTTGGGCCTGGACGCTGTCCCTCAGCTTTTCAGCTCAAGGCTAGTGTTCTACCACTTGAGCCACAGCACCACTTCCGGTTTTTTTCTTTTTTGCTTATGTGGTGCTGAGGAATCGAACCCAGGGCCTCATGCATTCAAGGCACGCGCTCTACCACTGAGCCACCTTCCCAGACCCACAGTAGGGCTTCTTAGCCTCCCTGTAGTATGGATGTTAGGGGCACAGGAGAGTAATGGTTTACTGGGAACACCATTTCTGAGAGAAAACTAGGAAATTCCTTTGATATCTTAGATAAGCCATGGCCTCTCTCTAAACCTTAGTTTCTCCACCTTATAATGAGATTAATTATATAAGTTAGAGAGCAAGCAGTTGTAAGAGTTAAATGAAATAATGGATGTGGAAGGTAAATTTGAAACTAAAAGACTGGATAGCAAAATGAAGTAATAGCACCATTACTGCCATGAACACATGATAAAAACTTTAATTCATGTTAAAGGAGAAGTAAAGAGGTAGGAAGGAAATAACCAGTGGTGTGCTGAAACTGGCTTTCACTGGCTAGTGAGGGCTGCTTGACTGTACCATTTCTTTATAACTGTGTTCAGAGATAAGTTGAGTAGTGAAAACTTATACTATGGAAATCAGCAAATATTATAAACTGACTCTCACTCCTGACCCACCTCTGAAATATGTCTGTTACACATTTGTCAGCCTATCTTTGGGAAATGTGTAAATGGTTAATGCCTGAGGATTCACATTCTAGAAGACAGTCTGTCTACAGAGGAAGAGGTAGCAAAAAGCTTCCAGGAGGAGAGGAGGTTCTAGCAGCAGGTTCCCCGAGGAAGAACTGAAGCTAGAGCTTGGAGAAAAACCCTGGTTGTTGTGACAACTATGTTGGGTCTCTGTGGAGCTAGTGGATCCCAGGAGGCAGTGAATGGCTCAACAGAAAATACCAACCTGTAGACTGTATTGACTTGGCATGTAACCATCTCGGAAATAAACCACAGCAACTTCCTGGCCATCCCTACAACACAGAATAAAAAAAAAGCTGTGTTAAATCACTCAGATAAGTTCAGAGTTTCAATCCATTTCTGGGTACATTCAAATATATTTGGCTTCTCTAAAAATCAGTCAGTGCACAAAGGGAGGCTGGACAGTGCTCACTAGAACCAGGGAAAGATACTGGATAGTTACATTGCTAGCATCACCACTGAAAACAACCGAGTGTGCAGCATGGAAACCTTTCCAAAAACTCCAGATTATTGTAAAAAAAAAAAAAAAGGCTACAGAACAACAAAAAGTAACCAGAATCCAATTAAATAAATGTGAATTCAGTTATGACACAAGATAGTCTTTTTAAGCTTCTTCCCTTTGACCTATGGGATATCTAGTTTATCAGGAAAGTACTTAATTTTGCTATGCTAAAAGTATATTTTGAAATACAGGGGGTAGTAAGTGGTATTATGAAATTTCAGGATGGTTTGTAACTTTTAACAGTTCAAGGTCCAGGTCTAATTATGAATGCAGCAATGCTATCCAAAGATGTAGCAATAAAGCCACCTAGTGGTGGCCTCTGGAGAGAAAGGACCAGGCCTCTTTTGGAAGATAAATCCAGGGCTGAGCTCAGAGTTAAGTAACAACCTGCTGGGTCCCAGAATGAGCCAGCTGCCTCTCCTGCTCCCTGGTTGCTCAGGACCAACTTGACCAGCCACCAAGACGGGAAAAGAAAACTTTTGAGATTTTAGGGGCACATGAAAACCAGGTCAGCATTTGGTTGCCCTTCTCCAGAATTTCCTGTGAGGATGAGGTATTTCAGAAGTTAGAAGAGAAGAAAGAAAACAAGCCATCATATCTTCCAGAAGAAAAGACCATTTGGCAAAAGAAGGTGGCATGAGAGTTTCACAAACCAGCCATCTTTGGGGACTCTGGGGATGCTTACATAAACAGCTTTCGATCTTGATCCAAGGACCCCTTTTCTGAGACATCTTCAAATCGTCTCCGTATTACGTGAATGTTCCTGGCAAAGATGGATGGACAAGAATCAGAAGGAGTGCATGCTCTGTTCTTGAGGCCATATCCGGAGGTTTCCTTCCTTTATTACTTACCTGGCTAGCAGCTCATTCTCTATAGCGCGCTGGTCAAATATGTTCCTTTCCTTTTCTTGAGCAATTAGTAGCACCAGGGCACTGGAGAAAGAGCACAGATGGCCCCAAACTGCTAAAGAGCCTGTCCTTGCTCTGACTCATCCCCTTCAGGAATGAAAACAGAGATTTCCTAAAAAAGTAGATGTCCCCTGCTCCAATTTGGGATTGCCTCAGGTTTTTGTTCTTGTTGTTGTTTTGCTGGTCCTAGGGCATGAACTCAGGGCCTGGATGCTGTCCGTAAGCCTCTTTTTGCTCAAAGCTAGTGCTCTACCACTTGAGCCATAGCTTCACTTCCAGCTTTTTTGGTAACTTATTGGAGATAAGATTTTCCTACCCGGGCTGGCTTTGAACCTTGATCCTCAGATCTCAGCCTCCTGAGTAGCTAGGATTACAAGCATGAGCTACCAGCACTTAGAATTGCCTCAGGTTTTAACACATTACTTGCTGAAAATAGGAAACTTGGAAAGAAAAAAAAAAAGAAATGTTTCTGCTCCTTTCTCCAGCAATGAAGTGATTTTTTTGTGTAAATTACAGTTTACATTTAAAACTATCACAAAAATCTAAGAGGATTTTTTTCCTAGAATTTTTAAGTCTATCTGAAAGAATAAAGAGGTAGTAGTATTAAAGAACATCTTTTTTTGTTTTTTGTTTTTTTGGGTCCAGTCCTTTGGGCCTGAACTCTGGGCCTGGGCTCTGTCCCTCAGCTCTTCAGCTCAAGGCTAGCGCTCTACCAATTGAGCCACAGCGCTACTTCCGGCTTTTCTTTTTTGCTTATGTGGTGCTGAGGAATCAAACTCAGGGCCTTATGCATGCAAGGCGAGCGCTCTACCACTGAGCCACCTTCCCAGCCCCTAAAGAATATTTTGAAAATAAACAATAACCCTCACTGCTGAGAGTCAGGTACTAATGACTTACTAGATTATAAAGGGTTTAATTTAAAAAACTATGATTTTTAATGAAAATTAGAATAGCTAAGTAGAACCCCGAGAAGCTCATAATGCTAATTACAATTATGGTATTGTCTCCCAGTGCCCTCCAATATTTCTGTCCACACAACTATTTCTGGTTTGACATTTTTGTTTCATTTTGTTTTAGTGCTAGAGTTCAAATCCAAGGTATAGTAGGTACTAGCAAGTGCTCTACCATTGAATGAATCCCTAAGCCCTGGTTTCCTTAATGGGATCACTGAGGTTTGCTGGGCTTCTTTCTCTCTGGTTACATGCATCTTTAAAAGAACCGGGAGGGAGCTGGGAAGGTGGCTCAGTGGTAGAGCATTGCCTTGTATGCCTGAGGCCCTGGGTTCAATTCCTCAGCAACACATAAGCAAAAAGAAAAAAGCCGGAAGTGGCGCTGTGGCTTAAGTGGTAGAGCGCTAGCCTTGAGCTGAAGAGCTGATGGACAGTGCCCAGGCCCAGAGTTCAGGCCTCACGACCGGACCCAAAAATAAATAAATAAAATTAAAAAAAATAATAAAAGAAGCAGGAGCTAGCCAGGTGCTGGTGGTTCACTCCTGTAATTCTAGCTACAAAGGAGGCAGAGATCTGAGGGTCACAGTTCAAAGTTAGCCCAACAGGAAAAGTTTGTGAGACTCTTATTTCCAATTAACCAGTAAAAAAGTCAGAAGTAGAGCTAGGGCTAAGTAGGAGAATGGTAGCTTTGAGCATAAAAGTTCAGGGACAATGCCAAGGACCTGAGTTCAAGACCCAGGACCAGCACACAAATATAAAAAGCTTGAAGTGGAGGTGTAATTCAAGTGGTAGAGTGTCAGCTTTGAGTGAAAAAGCCAAGCAAGAGTGCAAGGCCTAAAGTTAAAGCCCAAATACCAGCACATACCAAAAAATGGGCTAGAAATGTGGCTTAGTGATAGAGTGCGTGCCTTGCATTCATGAAGCCCTGGGTTCAATTCCTCAGTACCATATAAACAGAAAAAGCTGGAAGTGACGCTGTGGTTTAAGTGGGTAGAGTGCTAGCCTTGAGCAAAAGAAGCTCAGGAACAGTGCCCAGGCTCTGAGTTCAAGCCCCCAAAAACAAAACAAAAACAAAAACAAACAACAGCAAGAGCTTAGGTCTGACAAGTGATAGAATATCTGCCTAGCAAGCAAGAGGACTCTAGTTCAAACCAAAGTTCTAGTAAAAAGAAACGATCAAACAAACAAAACAAAGAAACAACAACAACAACAACAAAGTGCTTGAGAACTCAAGAAAAAGGATTGTCTCTTTAGCTACCAGTTAAGCTATCTTCAGGATCAAAGGTAGATCTAGTCCTCCATCAGACTCCTAAGGCCAATACTTAACAAAAGCAAACTATTTTTGCTGTGGCTATACTTTTTGTGCCTGTGGTCTCTTGCAAAGATCTGTGGAAGCCCCCAGACTCTGGCTTAGAATGCTGTGTGTATTCCTGACCTCCTATACCTGCCCTTGTATCTGTTTGTCTCTATTTTTATTTACCTTAGCTGAACCTTTTGGACTAAACACTGTTTACCTGACTTCTTTCCATGTGGCCAAATATAGGTCCTATTATGTTCCCTCTCAAAGCCTGCCTCAAACTTCATAAGGTCATATATACCAATAAGCAGAGGTCAGACTTGACACTGGCTTGAGCATTTTCTTGTAAAAGACTAGCTAGAAATAGTGCTCTACTAGCCCTAATAAGAGTAGGGAGGGCCAAAGATCTTGCTCTTTATTTTGCAGCCTAAATTTCTCTGTTCATGGGGAGGATGGGGTGGCATCTAGCCCAGAAACAGGGGGAAAGCAAGAGGGTAAAGTACAATTGCATGCTTTGTCCAATTAACTCAGCCTGCCCAAGCAATGGAAGCCAGATCCAGAAAACATATTCTACCTCCCTCTGAGTAGTCAGAACTGAGCAAGACTATGAACCTCAGTTTCCTCATCTGTGAAATGGGCAAGAACAGCCCCTATCTTATAGCATTTGTTATGAGATTTCAATGAGATCCATAGCACAAGGGATAGCACTAGTAAGTGCTCATTCTAGGACAACTGTTAGTGCCATATTAGCACCACAGTAATTAGTATTATGACCCCTCAATTATCTGGAAGTCACTTACCTAGCATCTTCACACATCTGGAACATGGTTGAGAAATAGGAAGAAAGCAAAAAATGCCCTAAGCAGTCAAAATAGACACCATAAAATTCTTAAGTCAAATCTTACGCATTTAATCATCAAAAGAACCCTCCCACTCTTTGGGTACAACTGTAACAAATTGAATCACTGTTTTTCGGGTTTTTTTCTATCATCTTTTTTTTTTTTTTTTTTGGGTCCGGTCGTGGGGCTGAACTCTGGGCCTGGGCGCTGTCCCTCAGCTCTTCAGCTCAAGGCTAGCGTTCTACCACTTGAGCCACAATGCCACTTCCAGCCTTTTCTGCTTATGTGGTGCTGAGGAATCGAACCCAGGGCCTCAAGCATGCAAGGCAAGCGCTCTACCACTGAGCCACCTTCCCAGCCCTCAGTTTTTTTTTTTTCTAAACAACAGCCAATCAGAAAAGAAAATACTAGAAGAGGAGGGAAGTATTCCACATTCAAGCCCACTGATGGTAGTAAATAGTCAGAGCTAATAATCAGGAAGTTAGATGAGAATTCATCTATTTCAGCACTAAAGGCCATTGGTACAAGCAAAAAGCCCCCTAAGCCTTTCTGATCCTAGGTGGCATCTCTGCAATATAGCAAGACACAACTGCTGACAGTCACAATGATGACTTCCAGCCAATAAGGAAAGGTTAAGTTGTACTCAGAATCCCTTATTTAAGGAAGTCCAAAATGCCATTAAAATCGTATTGGCACTTGAGAGTTTTAAGTTTCTGTTCCCAGAAAAATCCCTTTATTAATGATGTCTAACAAAGAAGAATCTGCTGCCCCAATGAATGCTGAATCTAAATCAGGATACTGCTGCCATTTTTCTTCCCCCATACTTACTTGGCTGAGCCATAGAGCTCCCAGGCTTTGGCGATCCCCAGGGCCAGTCCCTTGCTGGGATTATTGGAGAGGATCTTGGTAGCTTCTGTGGTCTTATTCAGGACATTGAGAACATGTCTGTTGGAACAGAGATGGCTATTCAGTAACTGGATGGACTAGAAGACCCCTCTGCCTATGACTTCACAGACACATAGGGAATATGACTCTGCAAATCAATCACATACTTAAAAGCATCTTTACCATCACATTCCTGCAGGATCTACTTTAGTTAGAACAGGCTGGAGTGAACTCACAGTGATTCCCCGATGTATATGCCCAGAGGAACCTGAGGCCTTGTGTCCGCATGACACCCCCCAGTCCAGCCTCCATGTAAGCTAGATCCCTGCCAACTGTCAAGGTCTTTCTCGCCACAGGTCTCTGGAACGTACTAGAATCTGTTGTTCCTCTACCTGGAACACTAACTTACGTAATGAAGAAGCAGGACTAAATAAGCCATGAAGTCTCATCTCTCCCTGACATATTAAAAATCTAATTACAAATGTAAACTATTGCAAGGAGCATATTGGGAGAATGTAAGGATGAAGGGGGAAAGGGATGGACACATGACCCAGGGCCCAGGCAGGCCCAGTCCTAACTGGGAGATCCCTGACTCAGTAATCCATGATCAGTGATCCCTGGCTTAGTAGGTTCTTAAGGCTGTGTCCACAGCTGCCCAAGAAACCCACCGGTGCACATCTGGAGTCCGAGAAGCAAGGCCCCCAAAGCTGGCAGAAATAGTGTTGATTTCAATCTGTTTCAGGGCTGGGGAGCCATCTGCATTACTCTGGAACATGTAGTCTGAGCGGTTCAGGCCCAGGAACACAGTCTGTGGACGAAACTGAAGGCTGAGGACATCTGCCCTGGGGCTGACTCTGAGGGTCTAGCCACACAGCAGAGAAATACACAAACTCCATGCTAGAGGAAAAGCACCAGCTAACACTCCCAATGCCAATGGGAACCAGTGAGAGGCAGATTACCAGGAGATTGAGGTTAAGATCAATTCAAAACATCAGAGAGAAGGGCAGGATCCAGATAGCAGAAGGGCCAAGAATGGTTACCTGTGCAATGCCTTCTTTCAGGACTTGCTTGTAGATGTCAAAGAGCTTAGCAGTAAAGTTGTCTCTTTTGATTGTACTGGAAGAGGAAACAGAACATTTTCTAGATTACATGGAATCTTCAAGTTCCTACCCCTAATCATTGGCTCCTGAATGCTTTTCTGTTCTTCTGGCCCAAACTGGAAAATCCATTCAAATCCAGTAGAGAATTATGGTTAAGGATCATGCCTATAAACCTAGTTATTCAGGAGTCTGAGATCTGAGAATGGAAATTTGAAGCCAGCCTGGACAAGAAAGTTCATGAGACACTGATTTCTAATTAACCTAGCAAAAAGTCCCAAGTGGAGTTGTGGCTCAGGTGGTAAAGTGCCATGCTTGAGCAAAAAAAAAAAAAAAATGGACAGCACCCAGACTCTGAATTCAAGCCCTGTTACTGGTGTGTGCATACGCATGCGTGCGTGCACACATACACACACACACACACACACACACACACACACACACACACACACACACACACACACACACACACACACACACACACACACACACACACACACACACACACACACACACACACACACAGCTCTAGCTGAGCAATGTAGACCACAATGTAATCTCAGCAGTTAGGAGGCAAAGGCAGGAGTATCTGGAGTTTGAGAAAGCCTGAACTATAGTGAGACCCTATGTAAAAAAAAAAAAAAGCTTTTAATGAATATGAAAAAAGAACATACACAAAAAAAACTCTAGCTCTACTACCCACTATTAGACAACCTCAGAGAATCATTTCATCTGTCTGAATCAGTTTGTTCAACTGTAAGATGAAGATCATAAAGCTGTGGTGAACATTACATGAATAAGACGTTTTATTTTTTTTAGTGCCAGTTCTGGGACTTGAACTCAGGGTCTGTCCCTGAGCCTTTGTGCTCAGGGCTAGTGCTTTACTGCTCTGAACCACAGTGCAATTTCCAGCTTTTTAGTAGTTAATTGGAGATGAGCGGTCTCACAGACTTTCCTGCCTAGACTGGCTTTGAACTATGATGCTTAGATCTCAGCCTCCTGAATAGCTAGGATTACAGGCATGAGCCACCAGTACAGGCATGAAACATTATTTTTTAAAAATTGAATGTGTTGGGGCGGGGGGGGGGGGGGAAGATGGGAAGGGATGGGAAGGGGAAACAAAGGAGGAGGCTACAATGCTTGATAAGAAATGTACTCATTATCTTGCCCATGTAATTGTAACCCCTCTGTACAGTATTTTCACAATAAAAAATAAATAAAACTTTTAAAAAATTGAATGTGTTCTTCTGGTCCAAGAGAAATTTTTAAATGGTAGGTGATATAACTATTCTATATTTGAACAGATCTGATGGCTGATAAGCTTTTCGGTTGATTCTCCATAGCTTCCCTGTACTTGGGTACCTTGAGACACCTTCTTCCTCTGGCAGACAGCATTACAGCCTCCCCCCTCCCCCCAGCAGTTACACCATGGGCTTATATAGGATTTTTCAGACAAACTAAATATCCTGGTTTTCTTTCAGCCAGCCATCATGTGATGGTCATACATATGATTTCCTCAGAGAAGCCTTTGCTATCTGGTAATCTTCCCTTGCTCAGGACTCTGATGGCCTCTCTTTCATAGCACTGACTATACACTGATTTATTGAGATGATCAGTGTCATCCTTCCTGTTTGACTATATACTGCATAAGGGTGGAGCCAGACTGGGTAGGCTCATCCTTGGAGCCCAGTGTGCAGCTATAACATGTGCCACGTACTAGGTGACCATCCAATAGGATTTTCTGGAGCCTCAGGTAAAAGCACAGTGAGGAGGACTCCATAGGGCCTTAACTCTACACGGCTGCTTCTCAAGATTCAGAGAAGCTGTGCCTGGAGATTCATCTAGTTCCAGGATCCTTGTGGCAGAACAATATGGATAGGCAAGTAGCTTTGGCCTGTCCTGGAGTTCCTCTGCTCCCAGCCAGCCTGCTTTCCAAGGAGAGTTTTCTCAGAGGGTATTCTAGCCTCTGGTGAGGAGGGAAGTTCTCAGCGGGCTTTAGCCTTCAGGGAAACTAGCATATATTTTCTCTTTTGTAATGTCCTCCACGTCAGGTTCTAGGCTTCCCTTCTCCCTGAGAGCTAGAAGGGTGTGTGGGGGTGAGGGAGGGTGTTGCAGAGAGCGGCTGTAGTGTTCTCTCAAACTTACATTGCTAATATAAAGGTGACGTGTCAGGCTGCTCCTAGAATCTAGAACTGCTGGTATGAACACCAGGCCCATCCTGAGAGAAGGTAGGGCAGAGTTTCCCAACTTATACCATTATGATTTCTTCTTATATTCATCCTCACACCAAAGGTACACATTTGAAAAAAGATTTGGTTTCTAACAAAATCGTTTTTTTAGATTATCAAAGATACACAGTTATCTATATATACATCTAGCAATTATGTAACATGTATACATTTAATTCTAAGATAAACTTAGATGTAATTCTAAAATAACTCAGGAAATTTCACTTGCTCCAGGATCTGAAGAAGGGAAAAAATAAAAAGACCTAGAAAGAAGAAAAAGAAAGGAGTGGCTGTGAGCCATTTCAGACTTGGTGCCTTGTGTCTTGGGTATGCTCCAATCTGCATTCTGTCCCACCAAAGCTAAGAGGCTGAGGGAAGAAGTAGGAAGTCTGACTTTTAAAACAATACGCTTCCCTACTCTTTTTTCCTCCAAACTAAGCTTACTTACCCTAATTTCAAATGGAAATTTTAGTCTTCAAAAGCAGGAAAGCATAGATCACAAAATGTCAGCACTGGAAAGGAGATTATATTTAAGCCAACTTCTTTATCTTTTAGATAAAGAAACTGAGGCCCAGAGAAGGAAAAGGACTTCTCTGAGGCCATATAATCACAGAACAGAAGCAGGAATTGAAGCCAACATTCCTGACTCATTTTCTACTTTTGTGTTTTGCCTGGGGCATCTGCCTCCTATCCACCAAGTCAGCTCACACAGAAGTACTCATGGATCCCCAATCTTCCTGTCCCTTGCTTCTAACAGGTCCTAGGTTCCTCAAGTTCTACCCAGTACCTGGAAAGAGTCTGCTCCAGGAAGACAGCATTCTGGCTGACAGCATCCACTAGCAGGTTGAAGTCCATCTGCACAGCATAGGCCTGCTCCAGCAGGGCACAGGGGACCAGAGAGGGGAAGAGTGTGAAAGGGGCATAGCTCACCACCTGATCAATGAGAGACAGTAGGGTAGGAATGAATGGGGTGACTTCCTGCAAAGGTAACCCCACGAAAAATCTGTCCTATGTTAATTGAGAATAAACCCATTTCAGGATAGTAGTTACCAACAGGAGTAGAAGGACAGAAGAAAGGTGAGGAAAGGGTACAAAGACAGCATTCAGTTTCTGTGACAATTTATCTCTACAAGTTTTTTAAAAATGAGCAAATCCACAACGAGATACTGGTGGCTCACATTTGTAATCCTAGAAACACTGGAGGCTGAAATATGAGGATCACAGTTAGGTCTTTTTTTTTTTTTTGGTCAATCCTGGGGCTTGAACTCAGGGCCTGGGCTCTGTCCCTGAGCTTCTCTGGCTCCAGGCTAGCACTCTACCACTTGAGCCACAGCACCACTTCTGGCTTTTTCTGTTTGTGTGGTACTGAGGAATCAAACCCAGGGCTTTGTGCATGCTAGGTAAGCACTCTGCCACAAAGCCACCTTCCCAGGCCAGGATCACAGTTCAAAGCCAGTCTGGGCAGGCCAGAAGTGGAGCACAGCTCAAGTGGTAGAGCATTGAGTGAGAAAGCTAAGAAGCATTACCTTGAGTTCAAGTCCCAGAATGTACACACGTACGTACACACACACACACACGCACACACACACACACACACACACACACACACACACAATCTACAAATGACTAAGCAGTTCCTGTGTGCAAAATGCCATCATTAAATACTTAAGATGGATTCATCACTTAACTCTATGAGGAAGATACCATATTATCCATACTTAAGAGTGAAATATGGGGGCTGGGAATGTGGCCTAGTGGTAGAGTGCTTGCCTAGCCTGCATGAGACCCTGGGTTTGATTCCTGAGTACCACATAAGCAGAAAAAGCTGAAAATGGAGCTGTGGCTCAAGTGGTAGAGTGTTAGCCTTGAGCACAGAGAGGCTCAGGGACAGAGCCCAGGCCTTGAGTTCAAGACCCAGGACTGGCAAAAAAAAAAAAAAAAAAAAAGAATTATGAATACTGGGGCTAACTGGCACCATCTTGGCACCTTGGCGGATGATAGGGACTTTCTGAAAACTCTTCGAGGTAAAATCCCCTGCCCAGACAGTCCACCCCCAGATGATAGGCTTGCCTGAATTCCTAGAAGCAGGGATGGGGACTTAGACAACACATTCCTGGACCTGCCAGACTTGTACTATGAACTCAGGAGACTTTTTGAACTTTTGAACTCCTATGACCCTGCCTCTAGACTACGACCCTGCCTCTAGACTACGACCCTATTTAGGCCCCTCCACCCCTGCCAACTTCCATGCCTCATGTTTCCTGATTCCTCAGGGCACCGTGGCGTCCCTCTTCAACTCTCCATTAGAGTTGATCTGGTTTGAGATTTTTTTCTCTCTTTCCTTACTGCCCTCATGGTTCAATTTCCTAACAGTATTAAGTGTATTGGAGGCTGCAAGTTTTTGAGGACATGTGTTTGCTCACAGTTACCAGCTTTCTAATAAAAAGTCTCCCAATTCAACTTCTGGTTTCTCTGTATCTCATGAACAAATTCTTTTTTTTTCTTTTGGTAGGTCATAGGGCTTGAACTCTGGGCCTGGACACTATCCCTGAGCTCTTCAGCTCAAGGCTAGCGCTCTACCACTTGAGCACAGCACCACTTCTGGTTTTCTGAGTGGTTTATTGAATATAAGAGTTTCACAGACTTTCTTGCCCAGGCTGGCTTTGAACTGCAATCCTCGGATCTCAGCCTCCTAAGTAGCTAGGATTTACAGGCTTGAGCCACTGGCACCTGGCTCTCACGATCAAATTCTTGTGTAACAAGAGATACAAGTGGGCACTGGTGGGTCACACCTAGCTACTTAGTAGGCTGAGATCTGAGAATCAAGGTTTGAAGCCAGCCCAGGCAGGAAAGTCTATGAGACTCTTATTTCCAGTTAACACCAGAAAACCGAAAATGGCACTGTGGCTCAAAGTGGTAGAGCATTAGTCTTAAGCAGAAAGCTCAGGGACAGCACTCAGACCTGGAGTTCAAGCCCCATGACTGACCAAAAGGGGAGGGAGGGGAAAGGGGGAGAGGGAGCAGAGAGACCCTACACAGAGACTAAGTAATAGGTCTAAAAGTATATTTGGCTGGTAAGGAGTGCTGGGATTTCAAGCAGGATGGTGATTAAACCCTATCAACACAATCCACACCCACACCTCCAGATATGAACTCATATCTGGTTGATATTCATGCCCAGGCCTTTACCCGTGTCAGAATCTCCCACTCCAGCTCTCTGGCCTTCTGGTTTGGCAGAAGTGAACTCTGCCCCTGAGTAGAAAACTGGAGTGGCTCCCACTTAGTACTTGAGATGATAAACTCAGGTTAGCAGGCTTGGAATTTAGCTGCATTTTGATATAGTCAAGTTTCTAGAAGGGGAGAAAATGCATTCTGAGATTCCCAACAACAAATGGACTAGAACTTGGTTAAGAGATAGTAAGACCTTGAAAGGTTCAAACAGTCCTGATTGAACTTTCAAGTAAGTATCAGTTTGCCATTACAGAAGTGAACTACGAGTGTACAGTGTTAGCTTTAGCGTTGGTGCATACCTGTAATCCCAGCACTTGGCAGGATGAGGCAAGAGGATCATGAGTTCAGGTCAGCCTAGGCTGTACAAGACTTTATCTCAAAAGAAAAAAATGAAGAAAGGAAGGAAGGGAGGGAGGACAGGAGAAGAGAGAACTTGGCTGTACACACACACACACACACACACACACACACACACGAGCACTGATACTAGGGTTTGAACTCAAGGCCTGGGTGCCGTCCCTGAGCTTTTGTGCTCAAGGCTGGTACTCTACCATTTGGGCCACAGCTTCACTGCTGGCATTTTGGTGATTAATTAGAGATAAGAATTTCACAGACTTTCCTGCCCAGGCCAGCTTCAAACCACAGTCTTCAAATCTAAGCTGCTTAAGTAGCTAGGATTATAGGTGTGAGCCACTGGCACCTGGCATCCTGAAGCCTTCTTGAGTTAAACAGGAACTACTGTAGCTTATATAAAATGCATGTGTGATGACTATACCAGCAATCCTCTGGCTTTAAGACTTACCTCCCCCAAGAAGTTTCATCTGCTACCAGAACCTCCCAGAGTTTTTCTGCCAAGACTTCCTTCTGCCTCAGCCCCCAGGACTCATTACCTGACTTGAATGTAGGATTGCAGGCATGCAGCCGCTTCCCACAGGCCACATGGCTACAGGCTGAAGTGCAAAGTCTCTTACTTTAGATAAGACCTGGGCACAAGAGTAACAGTAGCTCAGTGCAAGAAACACCACAGCATGTGTGATGCCAAGAACACTCTGATTGTGGCAAGGGAAATACCAGGTGAGGAAAGGTGGTGAGAAGTGGTATCTTATCTGAAATTCAGCCACAACTTTGCTCCAGCTGGTTGCCGCCATGTAGTAAAGTGGGCCAGACGTGCCCAGTGACCTGATTGTGCAGCTTTCTTTTTGGTGCCAGTCCTGGGGTTTGAACTCAGGGTCTGAGAGCTTTTTGGTGATTAATTGGAGAAAAGAATCATAGACTTTCCTGTCCAGGCTGGTTTCAAACTACTATTGTCAGCTCTCAGCCTCCTGAATAGCTCAGAATACAGAGGTGAGCCACCAGCACTGGCTTTTGTTGTTGCTGTTGTTTGTTGTTGGTTGTGGGACCTGAACTCTAGGCCTGGGCGCTGTCCCTCAGCTCTTCAACTCAAGGCTAGCACTCTACCACTTGAGCCACAGCACCACTTCCGGCTTTTTCTGCTTATGTGGTGCTGAGGAATCAAACCCAGGGCTTCAAGCATGCAAGGCAAGTGCTCCACCACTGAGCCACCCTCCTCGCCCCTGGCTTTGTTTTTAATATCATGAATTTTCAAAAAATGTTGGCTAACTTTCAAAAGGCATCCTGGTTTCAAAATAAAACAAAAAACCCAAAGCCTGTTAACAATGATTGCCTCTGTAAAGGAAAGATCAGTGGGGAAAGGAGATTTAGTCTACATGCCGCCTCTTGAAGGATGTACCCTGTTCATGGTTTACCTCGTCCGTCAAATGAATTAACTCCCTAAGCATTGCAGGGACCAAACCATCAGCCTGCATGCTGTGGCTGGTCCATGACTCTCAGCTACAGGTACCAAAGTGCCTGAGCTTCAGTTCTGGTTCTGCCAATTATTCCACTATTTAAACGACCTGAGATAAATTACTTAAATTCCTAGATCCATCGTTCCTAGATTCATCGTTCCTTTTTTTACGTGTGTGTGTGTGTGTGTGTGTGTGTGTGTGTGTGTGTGTGTGTGTGTGTGTGTGTGTGTGTGTGTGTGTGTGTGTGTGTGTGTGTGTGTGTGTGTGTGTGTGTGTGTACGGTGGTCCTGAGGCTTGAGCTCAGGGCTTGGGTGCTGTTCTTAGCTTCTTAGCTTTTCTGCTCAAGGCTAGCATGCTACCACTTGAGCCACACCTTCACTTCTAGCTTTTTGGTAGTTAACTGATGAAGTCTCATGGACTTTCCTGCCCAAGTGGGCTTTGAACCACTACCCTCAGACCTCAGCCTCTTGAGTAGCTAAGATTAAAGGAGTGAGTCACCAGCACCCAGGAGTTTATGTTTGCTATACTGAAGGGCAAATGAGTCAGCAAGTCGAAAGTGTGCAGAACAGTGCCTGACCACTCCCCAGAGGAAATACTCAGCAAATGACAGCTAGAACTGTGTGGTACTGTGTTCCTGAGTGATTCAATTTTGTTTTGTGTTCTCCAGCTAGAGCCTGAGCTTCAGAGGCTGGACCTCCAGCTGACTCACTCTGTCCTCAGTGCCAAAAAGGTCTTGTCCCAGAGAAGGCACCTGGTAAAGATTTAGAATGAAATCACATACCACATGCACGCACATGACTCTGGATTATATTCTCATTGAGGATTGTGCCTTTTCTTGCATTAACTCTCAGAAAGACAAATCAGACCTTCATACAATACCTGTTCATTAACAGGTAATAACAGAAAATAGAAGCTTGAAGGGGGATATGTTTCATCTTGAATTCAGAAAATCATAGCCCAAGAAATTTTATTGCCAAAGCCACCTTTACAGGATACGTCATGTACTTGGTAGTTGGCAAGTATTTACTGACTCTGGGCTATCCCCCAAGTCCCTAGTAAGTACTGATTGCAGAGACAAAACAGAAAGTGTTTAGCTTTAAAAAACAAACAAACAAACCATGCTGTTAGCTCTTTTTTTTGTTTGTTTTTGGGTCGGGTTGTGGGGCCTGAACTCTTCCCTCAGCTCTTCAGCTCAAGGCTAGCGCTCTACAACTTGAGCCACAGCACCATTTCCGGCTTTTTGCTTTTTGCTTATGTGGTGCTGAGGAATCGAACCCAGGGCCTCAGGCATACAAGGCAAGCACTCTACTACTGAGCCACCTTCCCAGCCCCTGCTGTTAGCTCTTTAATCACCAGTATAGATGGCTTTGAAGTACACTGGTAATTAGGAAGGATAAAAAAAAAAAGTACCCAAGAATTTGTCTAGTATGCCTTTTGGTTTAAAAGTGGGGCTATGTATGGTGACATATGCCTGTAATCCAAGTATTTAAGAGGCAGAAGCAGAAAGATTACAAATTTAAGGCCAATTTAGGCTACATAGTGAGAAGCCTTTCTCAATACAAGAAAAAAGAGAAAAAGCTGGATGTTGTGGCTGTAATGTTAATTACTTGGAGGCAGAGATTAGGAGGATCATGATATGAGGCCAGCCCAGACAAAAAGTTAGTGATGGATGTAGCTCAGTGGCAAAGCGCTTGCCTAGCAAGCGCAACGTCCTGGGTTCGATCCCCAGTACCAAAAAAGAAAAGACAAAAAAAAAGACAAGTTATGAGCTGGGAAGGTGGCTCAGTGGTAGAGTGCTTGCCTTGCATGCATGAGGCCCTGGGTTTGACTCCTCAGCACCACATAAGCAGAAAAAGCTGGAAGTGGTGCTGTGGCTCAAGTGGTAGAGTGCTAGCCTTGAGCTGAAGAGCTGAGGGACAGTGCCCAGGCCCAGAGTTCAGGCCCCATGACCAGACCCCCCCCCAAAAAAAAAAAAAAGTTAGTGAGACCTCATCTCAACAATGCAAATTATGCCTGGAAGCACAACTGCTACTCTGGAGTTTAGCAGTAAAAAGATTGATCTAAGCCAGGTCTTGAACAAAAATAACAGAGAGACTCTAAGTGAAAAATCACAAGGAAAATAAAGACTGGGTTTGTGGTTCAAGTGGTAGTACCCCTATCTACCAAGCTCAATGCTACAAGACACTGAGTTCAAACTCTAGTCTCTCTCACACACATACACACACACAAAAAAAAAAAAGCAAAAAAAAAAAAATACAGTTATATGTTATATATTTACTTACTGTGAATAAACTACCTGAAGAAAAAGGACACATTTGGGATAGGAGAATGTAAAAGGGAGGGTGAAACATTAAACTCTTAACTTTGGAATTTTGAACAATGGAAATATATTATTAGTCTTAAACAGGTTTTTGGCTGGGTGCTAGTGGCTCATGCCTGTAACCCTACTATTCAGGAGGCTGAGATCTGAAGATAGCAGTTTGAAGCCTGGGCAGAAAAGTCCCCATGAGTCTTATCTCCAATTGATCATTGAAAAACTGGAAGAGACACTGTGGCTCAAGTAGTAGAGCACTAGCCTTGAGCACAAAGATGCTCAAGGACAGCACCTAGGCCCTGAGTTCAAGCCCCAAAACCAACAAAACAAAAACAAGTTTTTGTTATTTTAGGAATAAGTTTTTTATTTTTTTTAAGCTTTGTTTTGGAGGCGAGGACTGATATGTGTGTGTGTGCGCGTGTGCATGCGCGCATGTATCAACATCCATGCATGCACACACACATATCAGTCCTGGGCCTGGATACTATTCCTGAGCTTGGGTGTTCTACCACTTGAGAGCTGGCTTGGAACTGTGATTCTTAGATTTCAGCCTCCTGACTAGCTAGAATTACAGGCATGTGTCAACCGTGTCTGGCTAGAGGTGACAGGTTGTTTGTGTGTTTTTTTTAACTATTGCCAAGCTGGTCTAAAACTCCTGAACTCAATCAATCTTCCTGCCTTCCAAGTTCTGTGAGTATAGACACAAACCTACTCCCAGCTCAAGGAGATTCTTAAAAATAATGGGGGGGCTAGGAATGTGGCTTAGTGGCAGAGTGCTTGCCTAGCATGCATGAATACCTGGGTTTGATTCCTCAGTACTACATATACAGAAAAAGCCAGAAGTGGTGCTGTGGCTCAAGTGGTAGAGCCTTGAGCAAAAGGAAGTTCAGGGACAGTGCTCAGGCCCTGAGTTCAAGCCCCAGGACTGGCAAAAAAAAAAAAAAAAGTAATGGGCTCAGAGATTCTACTTTTTTTTTTTTTTTTTTTTTTTTTTTTGCTGGTTGCGGGGCTTGAACTCTGGGCCTGGGTGCTGTCCCTGGGCTCAAGGCAAGTACTCTACCACTTAAGCCACAGAGCTACTTCCTGTTCTCTGGTTATTTGGAGATAAGAGTCTCATGGAATTTCCTGCCCAGACTGGCTTTGAACCGTGATCCTCAGATCACACCCTCCTGAGTAGCTAGTATGACAGGTGTGAGCCACTAGAGCTCGGCTAGGTTCTACATTCTTATATTTATCCTGGAGAAACAAAACAGGCATGAACATGGATTTCCCATCTGCTATTTGTAGTTATAAAACATTAGCAGTCACCTGTCCATAGCCATCAGAAGAGGAAAGCTAAGCTGATCCAGCCACACCTGCATCAGAACAAAGCCTACCCTGATGGAAGGCACTAAAAAGAGTTCTAAGATTTATGGTTAAAGAAAACACAAAAACATATCTTCAAACAATATGATTCCATTTGTTTTTAAAAACTACCAATTTTTGTAGATAACATGTCTAAGCTTATAATCAGATAACACACAAATCATTGTGATTAGGGGAGCTTAATAAATAACAGCTCCCTGGACAAAGTGCTTTATGTGAACTTTTTTTCTTTTAATTCCTCTGACCAATTCTACAGGCTTTACAATTATTACATTAATGTATCTGTAGAAAGCCCAGCTAAGAGAGGTTAAATAACTTGCCCAAATCACAATTTAAGTCTGACTACTCCAGCTTTTTACTTTACATCTTTTCAGAGATTAGTTTCAGTTACTGAATGAGATAAATTGTAGCTTTGGGGGCGGGGGCGGGGCCGGGGGGGGGGGGGTGTTCTGACTGGGGCTGCCAGGGCCCAGGCAGTGGGCTCGGAGGGGCGTGGCCAGCGTGTGGGTGGGGCTGGTGCTTACGTCGGAAGAGCTGGGCTCCTGCTTGGTCCTCAGCAACACTCCCTCGGCCAGGGCCCGGTCCACGGCCTGCCTGGCCAGCTCCTCCAGCTGCTGCTCATCCTGCAAGAGGCTCCCCCAGCTGGTGGCCATCCCAACCTGTGACAGTCAGGTGACAGAGGGCAGGAGTCCAGCAACCACTCAAAGTTGCCACTAGCCACCTCCCAAACACTGCAGGACTCTTGACCAGTCTCCTGAAAAGACAGTGTGGTGCAGGGAATGAACACTGGCTGGTCCCAGCGCTTAATTTCTATGTACACAAAATAGATAACTTTACAGAGCATTTCCACCGCCACTCTCGAGTTCCCAATACAGCAATGGCATTATTCTCACAGTAAGGAAGTGTAATTGGTCTCAGACTTGTAAGTCTGGGCTTGCACCCAGGCTTCTGAATTTCCAGTCCAACACTCTTTAGAGAAAGTAGTAATGTTATACATGACTGGGACAAATTCCTTCCCCTCTCAGAACTGCAGATTTCCTACCTGTGAAGCAAAGTGCCTGGGAGAGATCAGCAGTGACAAACCTGAACTGAACCTGCTGCCTTCTCTCCACCACTACCACTCCCCTCCACCTCACAGCAAGAGACTGAAGTTGAAAAGGCCTGAAAGGAGGAAAGGGTGGAAGTTCTGTATTTTTTTAAAGTTGTCCTGGATGAGAATTATTGTAGATTATTAATTTCCCTTCTCACTCCAGCATCTCATGTAACAAACCAAACCAATCATGTATGAGGCAAGAGCTCTTTGTGGAATAACATGAAATTAAGATAAGGTGAACTGTGTGTGTGCGTGTGCACGTATGTGCATGTGCATGCCAGTACTGGGGCTTTAACTAAGGGCCTGGGCACTGGTCCCTGAGCTTTTTTGCTTAAGGCTAGAGCTCTACAACCTGAGCCACTGCTCCACAGCTCTGGCTTGCAAGGCAATCCTCAGATCTCAGTCTCCTAGGATTATAGGCATGAGCCCCTGGTATCCAGCAATAAAGTGAACTCTTTATTGGCAGTAAACAATTGGGGTTCAAACTCGGCCTTGTGCTTGTTAGAGCAAGTGCGCTAGCCCCAACCCAGAAAATATCTCATTCTTTTTGCAATGGGGTGAGAAGGGGATTTGGGCAAAAACACCAGTTATTAATTTTGTTCTGCCTTGTCATTTAATTTTAAGATGATATGGCTAGGGTCTCACACAGTGGCGCAAAGAACAATGTTAGAAAATGATAGGTAATTCCAGCACTTTCAGTCCTGCCTCCCTTGCCTCATGACCGAACTGGTATTAAATCAATTATCAAGCACAACGTTTTAAAAGAATGAGTGTGTGCTCCCAAGAAGGTTCTGATTAACATCTCTGTCCAGTGAAGTAAATGAGAACAGTCATAATATAGAACAAGGTTCTGGAGTCAGGAAGACCTGGGTTTGAGTCTATAATACTATTATTTCCCCTATCAGTAAGGTCACTGTTTGGATTACATGACAAAAATCAGTGTGAAATTTCTCAGCAGTATTTGGAACTTTTGTTAGTCTGTTTTCTGTTACTTTAAAAAAATAAATGTCCAAAGCTGAAACCTTTATAAAGAAGCTTATTTAGTTCATAGCTTTAGAGGTGTAGGGGCCTAGTACTGGCTATGCAGTACTAAACATTACAATGGCAGTACTGACAGTAAGCCGAAAAGGGTGATTAGGGCTTATGCCAACTCACTCCCAGAACTCAGGGTCCAACAAGAACTATTTTAATCTCTTCCAGTGGCAGTAACTTCAACTACCTAAAGACTTTCCACTAGGCCTCACCTCTTAATTCTCCCCACCCCTGCCCCGCCCCAGTCACTACCTTGGGCCCCAAGACTCCAACACAGGAACCCTTGAGAGGCACATTCAAGCCAGAACCAAACCATACAGAAAATAACATGAGAGGTTTTTGTTTGTTCATTTGTTTTGTTTTGACCATACCTACTTAACAGGCAATAAGACTTGTTGGAGGTCACACACAGCAGCCTAGTGGCAGAACTAAGACAAAACCACATGACTCTGGACTGGAGGTGTGGCTCAAGTGGTAGAGCACCAGCTGTGAGCAAAAAAGTCGAGCAAGAGTGACAGGCCCTGAGTTCAAGCCTCTGGTACCAGAAAGGGAAAACAAAACAAAACATTAGAGCAACAGAACCTTCCATTAGCCCCCAACTCTCCACAACTTTGGAATTCCAGTATTTCTGCTGCATGGCTTTTGCTTAATCAGCAAATATTCCTAATGCCAGGTTCTTGGCTACATACTAGGGACATAGAATGCTAAGACATAAAAATAATCACTTTGGCCAGGTATAGTAGTGCACACTTGTAATCCCAGCACTCAGAAAATTAAAGGAGGTGGATTGCAAATTCAGGGCCAGTCTGGGTATATAGTAAGATCCTGTCATGACATAGTAATTATAGTAATGTTCACTATGAAAAGTGCTATCCCCTCCCCTCACTTTTTTGAGCGGTACTGCAGTTTGAACTCAAAGCTTCCTAGTGCTGTACCACTTGAGACATTCCACTAGCCCCTTTTGCTAGAATGATAACTACACACCACAGCACTCTGCCACTAGTTGAGATGAAGTCTCACATGTACCTTCGGCGGCCTCAAACCACCATACGGGCCAGAACCACCAAGCCAGCATTGTTTCCCTCATTCTGTTTTCTCAATCCTCCTCGTGACTTAGGTCTGCTTTGCTGAACACCACACAAATCAGCATTTTTGAAGGCTGCACTTTCCTGAGGTTCAAACTGGAATATCCAGCTGCTTCCAACAGAAGTTGTTGTCCTCCTACTCACTGCCCAACCCCCTAAAAAAATAATAATCTGCTTCTTGTCTGATGAATCTTACTCTGGCACCAAGCCTCCTGTGTACTTTGCTCCTAGGTCCTGTTCTCCAGTCCCCCGGATTCTGCTGCCTAAATATACGGACAGCTTTGAATTCTCAAGGTCTGTGCACTGGTCGCCGAGTTCCTCCCCTCCACCTCCAACCCCATCTCTTCCTGGGCACTAAAAGTTTCGCGTGAAGTATCTTCAGTCTGCAGGCTACACCGGCCACTCTCCCTCTTCCAGGCCTTGGAAGATGTTTTTTCCCCCTCTGGTAACACTCCCTCCCCGCCCCCCCCCCCTCCTGATGGCTTCCAAAGCAGCCCCGGTGCTCTGCCCTGGGCTTGACCACCCCGCTCCTTCCTTCCCCGGGTGCGAGGAAGTGGCACTGGCCTCGAGCACTTCTCTTCCCAGCTCGTTACTCCAGGATCCTTCAAGGAATGAATGACGAGTGAGTCACCCACAGTCCTACCCCGCCCACCAGGACAACCCGGCCGGACTTCACCCCCACGGCCAGGCCCAAGCCCGCCCCGGGCCTGGCCGCCGGCCCCCACGGCCCGTCGCTCCCACTCAGGGCAAAGTCTGGTCCCTCTTCTCTTTTCTTTTCTTTCCCCCCTTAAACTCTGGCTCTGATCTCACGAGCTGACACCGGCCAGATCTGGAAAAAGCCAGGCTCCACACGCGCCGGGCCAACCCCACCCCCCGCACTGGACACGAGTTCCCCGCTGCCCGCGCAGGGCCGGACCGCGACGCGCTCGGGCCTCCCGCGCTCCGCTCGCTCCCCGACTCCTTCCCTCCCTCGCTCCCCTCGGCGCTGCCCCCACGGGGAGGGGACGGGAGAGGAAGCGTGACCCTCGCCAGCCGCCGTCGCGGAACCTACTCTTGCCTCCTCCGGCCGCGCGCCGCACTCGGACTCCCGGCGCCGTTACCCAGCGTGGTGGGCGGGGGCCGCGCAGGCGCGGTGGGCCGCGCCCGGCCCTCCGCTGAGGATACTGGGCGGAGCTTGGGCGGGGGCGGGGACCTGCGCTTGAGAAGCTGGACGGCGGCCTGGAAGGGGCAGTAGGTGTGTGCTGAGAGTCACCGGGGCTTTAGAGGTGCGCTCAGGCGAACGGCCCTTGGAAAGTAGAGGTAGGGTCAGGCTGCATCCGCGTGGTCGGAGGTGGCGACGGCCAGTGTGAGAAGAAAGAACTTCAGAGCGAAGGCGGCCACCAACTACCCACCTCAGGGACTTGGCACTGACCGGGGTGGGAGGTTGAGAGGGGGAGCGCGGAGCGTAGAGGCCCAGAGAGAGTCAGAGGACGAAGCAGGACCGCACAGCACCTTAGCAGCAGAGCTTGTGTTAGAACCCAGGTTGTTCTCCAGCCCAGTCAAATCCTCCCCTCTCCCCAAAAGAAAAAACTCGTGGGAGGGCCATCTCCAAGAAAGCCTTGGAGGCCAAAGGAAAGGTTTATTGTATTTCTATGAATTTTCACGTCAGGACAGCTTGAGGGGTGGCCCAGTGTTTTCCAGCTTCAATACCATCTGCATCGGAACCTGGGGAAGTTGGTAAAATAGGCGAATTCATGATCCCACCCCCTTTTTACCCTCTTGGCAGCGCCCCCAACGCCTTAACCTTTTTTCCCACTGGGTTAAAAGGATCGTTTGCAATCTGAAGCACTTGATAAGAATTTTATCATCCCAAACTTAAGGAATTAGCCATTGATAAAATTCAGCCCCTGCTTTCAATCTGATTTTAAAAAAGAAATGGTCAATTGCTTTTTTTTGTCAGATTCAGGGAAGGATGAATGACAGAATGGACAGACAGTGATGGAGGTAGGGGTGGATCACTGAGTGTTCCGAGTAGCAGAAGCCAAAGCAGCAAAGGCACAGCCAGGTCCTGGTGGCTCACAGTTAGCTACAAGGAGGCTGAGGTCTGAGGATGGGAGACACCAGCTAGGGCAGAAAATCTGAGACTTCTCTCCATTTAGCCAGCAGAAAAACAGAAGTGGAAGAAGCATGGCTTAAGTGGTGGTGCCAGCAGAGAGAGAAAAAGCTGAGAGGGAGGGCAGGCACCAGCACCATGGCACACACAGGGGGTTGGGAATGTGGCTTAATGGTAGAGTTTTGCCTTGCATGCTTGAGGCCCACATAAGCAGAAAAAGCAGGAAATGGCCCTTGGCTCAAGTGGTAGAACACTAGCCTGGAGCTAAAGATCTGAGGGACAGTGCCCAGGCCCAGAGTTCAGGCCCCACCACTGACAAAACAACAAAACAGAAAAGTAATGTGGAATGTGAGCTCCATCAAAGCAGAAGGTGGCTCAGTGGTAGAGTGCTTGCCTTGCATGCATGAGGTCCCGGGTTCAATTCCTTAGTACCACTAAGCAGAAAAAGCTGGAAATGTTGCTGTGGCTCAAGTGGTAGGGCGCAGGCCTTGAGCTGAAGAGCTGAGGGACAATGCCCAGGCCCAGAGTTCAGGCCCCATGACCATCAAAAAAAAAGAAAAGAAAAGAAAAGAAAAAGCAGAACCAATATCTGTTTTTATTTCACCACTGGACCCCTGGAATGGTGCCTGCCACTTAGGAGATACTCAATTGTATTTGTTGAATGATGGAAGTAGACTGGAGGAGGTGAGGGGGGGGGGGGAGATTAAACTGACATTTATTCAAAGCTTATAATGTCAGATCCTTCTCCTAAATTGCCTCTTTGAATCCCCTCACAGCCTTTCAAGGTAGATACTGTTATCTCCAGTTAGTGATTTGTTACCTTTCAGGCTACCTTTGAGAGGAGGCATTAGACACAAACTTTTATGTACCATGCAGAGGAATGCACAGACGGTTTTGGGCCCACTCAGAGGTCCCAGATTAAGAAACAGGATGAGAGCTGAGTTGGCTTAGTGTAGATCACTGCTTGGCATGTGTGAGACTTGAGTTTGATCTATATTCTCCCCTGCCCAACCCCCAATATGGTCTATATCTGTGTATAGAGCTCCTGTCTCTTTTTTTAGGAATGACATCACGCCTCCTGGCCTTGTTTTTGAGACTATCTCCCCACTTGGCTGGGGGGGGGGGCACCGTTCTGGCCATTCATAGAGGAATTCTCTGCCTTCCAGCCCCTAGCACAGTCTCACTGCTCCGGAACCAAAATGAAGGTTCTCCCACGTGTGAAACATTTTCTGTGTGCCAGGCAATCATGTGTATGATCTCCTTTAGATTCCTGCAGTAATCCTGGGAGGGACATATTATTGTCTTTGTTTTACCAAAAAGAAATTCAAGGAATTTAAACTTTTAGGCCCCTAGAAGCTATGAGCACCAGCACTGGTTCTAGGGCCTGTGCTGTGTGCATGATGAACTTCGGGAAGGGCTGTGGGCTGACAAAGAGGATTTCTAGGCTCCGGGATCCTCTGAGATGTTCGGCTCACAAGCTTCTAATCTAGCTCTCATTTTATTTATGAGCAAAGAGACTCAGAAAGGAGAATTGATTTACCTGGAATCCTTCTCCACTTACTATTTCATCTCTTTTTATGCAGGATGGAATCTGATTTTACCATGCTATCACCCCAGCAGCCCAGATAGATACAGATCTAAGCTAAAAAAATACTTTAACTTTTTACTTACTGTAGAACCATTGAAAAAGACATAAAGATCAATACCATGAACATACACATCTACTAAACAGCTTGCAAAATAAAGTGTTTCTAGTGTAACTGCCTTATCTGTGTGTGTATGTGTGCACGCTCGCAGGCATGTGTGTGTGCACACGCACGCTGGTACTGGAGACTGACCTCAGCCTTGTGCTCTGGAAACTAATATAAGCAGCAGCAGCAACTGCTAGCATTGTCTGGATTCTAAGAATAGCTTGAGCTGAAGATTGGAGGCTGAGGCCAGAGCGGGAGGGGGCGGGGAACAGGAGCCTGTGCCACACCCCCTGCTGCTAATTGGCATGGAGGCTAGGAGGCCTCCCTTTGGCTCACCATTTGTTCTCGGATGGTTTTGAATGGGCATACTTTCCACCACCGGGCTGGGTGGAAGAGAGTGCTCCCAGGACTCAGAATCAGGCTGAGGAGAGTGGACCTATACTCTGAGGACCAGCCCTTGCCCATGCTGCTCCCCACCAGCACCGACTAGGGGGTTATTTTCAAGGATCATGTTGAACATGAACTTGGTTCATTTAGCAAACACTTAGCAGTTCAAATGTTATTGAGTCTCCACTAGTACTAAGTACTCCAGCTGTTTTAGCTCACAAGACATTGACCACAGCCCTACTGCTAGCATTATGTAGGAATGTCTGCTGTTAAGAGGATAAATGATTCTCCAAGATGTTGAGGCTCATAATTGGCAGAGCCAGAATTCTAACGAAGGCAGTCTGAATCTAGACAAGACATTCTTCACCACTCTGGCCTGCCTCTCAAGCTTGGGTCACTTCTCTCTATGATACTATCTCCTTCTTCTTAAAAGCCAAGGGATGAAACACTTGCCAGGTAGAGGCTAGCCTATAGCAGCGTGTAAGAAAGACCAGGTCTCTGCCCTGCCCTGGCCCTGGCAGTCCAATACTCCTGAATAACTGCCAACCACATGTCTCATATCCACATGCCCACATACAAGTCTGCTATTCAGACACAGCCTTGTCCCTTATTCACAAGTCCTACAGTCACAGAGCCTTTGAGCTGAAAAGCTTTGAAGCCCAGAGTTATAGGTGGGAGCATTTAGGTCTAGACAGGTAGCCGCCTATGAAAGATCACCATGGAGCCCTGGTAAAGCTCATCTCCTGCCCCCTGAGATCCATTACAGCAGGGCTGGTGGGGGGTATCTCTAATCCAGGGCCCAACCATTGTTTGAAGTTGAGAACAATTGAAGGGCAAGGGAACTATAGATAGATCCACAGCTGCTGTCACCTGTCCCAGCCTGGGCACTGGGCCCAAGCATTGTCTACATTGGGTCACTCTACCATTGAAGGCCCCTTGGGTGGGAGGTTGACCCAGCTCAGCTTAGCTCTATGCAGACAGAGTCAGAGACCAAGTCAGAGAAATTCAGTCTCAGAAGGTAGAGAGATGAGAAGTAACACAGAAAGGACAAGACCCTTAAGAGATACAAGGAACTGAGCCAGGTGCCTGTGGCTCATGCCTGTAATCTTAGCTACTCAGGAGGCTGAGAGCTGAGGATCAGGGTTCAAAGCCAACTCTGGCAGGACCCTTATCTCCAAAAACAAAAAAAGCCAGAAGTGGAGCTGTGGCTCGTGTGGTCAAACAATAGCCTTGATAGCAAAAGAAGTTCAGGGTCAGCAACCAGGTCCTGAGTTCAAGACCTAGGACTGGTGCAAAAGAGAGAGAATGCGAGATACAAGGAACTTCTCCCCAGGAAGCTGGTTGGAAGTGAGGGCAGAGGCAGAGAACTACTCAGATGATGAGGACTTAAGGCAAAGATTGAACTCACAGATGTAGATCCAGTGCTAGGGTCCAGAGCATCAGTCCAGCAGAGGTCTTTCTGCCCATCCCTTCTGGATGGCTGCCCATGTGCATTTCTCACCGGGTGATCACATCCCAGGACTTGGATTCAAGAGCCAGTCTGAGGGACCCTTGTGAGTGGTCTAAGAGCCCCCCCCCCCCACACACACACACATCCAGGGTCTTCCGAGGTTGCACCACTGTGAGGTTTAGTTATAGCTTTAATTTACTGTTGTAGACCGGGCACCAGTGGCTCACACCTGGAATCCTAGCTACTGAAGAGGCTGAGATATGAGGATTGCAGTTCCAAACCAGCCCAGGCAGGAAAGTCTATAGGACTCTTATCTCCAATAATTTTTTTTAACATTTTTTTTTTTTTTGGGTCCAGTCATGGGGCCTGAACTCTGGGCCTGGGCACTGTCCCTCAGCTCTTCAGCTCAAGGCTAGTGCTCTACCACTTGAGCACCACTTCCGGCTTTTTCTGCTTATGTGGTGCTGAGGAATCAAACCTAGGGCTTCATGCATGC